TAGTTTTGCCCCACCCCCCCCCCCCCCCCCTGCCACACAAAAAAATTCCTTCAATAGACAGCCATCACTCGTAAAATAAGCACATGGGAAACATTCAATCAGTCAAACTACACTTGCAAGTTGCACCACACTTCACACACACACAGCACAATGCCAAACTAGCTGAGCATAATCTTAGAAAGTAAATTTAGACCTAACCATAGTCACATAATTTGGAGTACGCTTTGGTACGTGGAACGGGTACAGGTACATGACCTCATAGAGTACCTGGTATGCCAGAGTACACATAGTACGCCTCAATTAGCTATTTTAATTTATAATAATTTTTAGTATATAAATTAACGTGTGTAGGAAGTTATGACAGACAGTGAGAAGTTGGAAAGTAGTGTGTGGGGAGTTGTGGCAGAAGTTGAAAAGCTGGGCAGGCAGGAAGTTGTAGCGTAACGTTAAGAATTAAAAGTTCTGTCAGCATAACGTGGGAAGTTGTGACCCTTTAATACAGCTTGTTAGTCGTGGAACTAACTAACAAATTAGGTACCAATTCGCGGTTCTCCCCCACAACTAGCGAATTATGTGATTACAGTCCTAACTAAATCCTATAAAATCGATCTATAAGATGAGGATTTTTCTCCACTTATATACTCTAATTTGACCACATCACTAATCAATGTGGATCTCCAACACATCTCTTTCATGCCGAAGACTCGATATCTCGAATATAAAGTTGGAAGGATTGGACATATCTATGGGGGACCTGATAAAAGGTGCCCCGAAAAGTCCAACAAAATTCACTAAGATAAACTTCGATATCATTTTACGAAATTGAATAAGACTTTAAAATCTTATAAAATTAACTTATGAGATGAGGAATGTTCTCCACTTATATACACTAGGATAAACTTGGATATCATTTTAAGAAAGTGAATAAGACTTAACTTAATCTTACAAAATTGACTTATGAGGAAAGAATTGTTCTTCACTTATATACTATTATGATCATATTTATGGTAGACTGCAGATCTCCAATAAACCACCTCACTCCAAGAGGTGGCCATCTCTGGTGTGAAGTGTTTGCAGGACAGGACACATAAACCGGGCACAACTACACAAGGCATCCTTATATAATATAGCTCCTCACAAAACTATTTCCTCCTATATAAGCTAAAAATATCACAACAACCATTTATAAACACATGACATTGCCTACATGCAAGTCAACTCAAGCGCCATAGTCAATAAGCATGCATTGAACAATCGAAGGAGTATCCAGCGCCACGAGAGAGAACCAAAAACAAAACAAGCCTCAGAAACTGTCTCCATTCAATTAAAATCCAAACCGCCATAAGCTCGTCACATTCTCACGGACACAACCACAATCCACGGCGCAGGAGAGGGAAACACAAACTGAACGAAGAAAAAACCCTAACCGAACCTGGATGCTGAAATCGCCGTCGAGCGACACATTATGCGATTCGAAATCGGCGGAGGAGAGCGCGGGGAGCATGACCTGGCGTTCCTTGCGATCGAGATCGGAGGCGAGCGCGGCCAAATCGAACTCGGAGAAGAAGGGACCCTGCAGCACAGTGTTGACGCAATGCACCGCGCACAGCTTCGACTCCTGCACCTCGTGGTACAGCATGCCTCCATTGCTGGCTCCTTCCATCATCGTCGAATTCAAAGCCTCGAGAACCGACAACGACCGCAACGGCGAATGAAGTACAAACCCTAATTGCAATTCGCGGTGCTTTTATTCCTTCTCTTTTGGGTTGTGTGTGTGAGAGGGAAGGGAGAAAGTGAGAGAGAAGGGGGAAGGAATAGGAGGCAGGGCGTAATAACGTAACGGATAATAAATAATAAATAATAAATAAATAAATAAATAAATACACAAATGAAATGATAATGGAAATTAAATGTTGTGGATTTTCTTGAGCTGTTCTTCTTCTGGAGGTTTGTTTGGACTTTGGACGTAGTATTATTAAATGTCGTGTACTGTGTGTCGTCGCGTCGAGGTGCCACGTGGGATATTCGGAAACGGTGGTCCCCAACGAAAGGGACCATTTATTAAGGGTTTTTTTTTTGACAAGATGATTTATCAAGGTTAGGTTCTAGACTAGGGGTCTAGGGCTAGGCCAGCGCTTCCGGTATTTTTCAATTTTCACGATGCAATTTTGCTTTCATGATTTTCTTTTTAATAATTTTAAATTATTACTTCTTGTATTTAATTACAAATGGTAGAGTGTGATGGAATAAAGATGCACAATTTATTATTTTAAAATAAATTTTGTATTCAATATTTTCTTTTAAAAAGTGAGAGAAGATTTAAAGAATGATATATTATTGTTTTATTTTAATAGTTACAAATTTAACTTTCACATTGAGATTTGAGAGTGATATTGGATAAAAATATTTTTACGGTATTGAATTGAAATATTAAATATTGTATACCATACGAAACTTGGTCTAAATGTATAATTCATTTGTCAATCGTTATCGAATTAAATTTGTTTTTCAGTTATGTGTAACTACTAACTAGTGCTCTTGTAAAAAAAAATATTATATATATATACCAGAATTTTAAGATATATAAAATATATATCTTTAAATTTATAAATTAAATTTTAAATTCATAATGAACAATTTAAATTGTAATATAAAAATATTTTTAACTATTCAACAATTAGATTAGTTTAGAAAAAGAATAATCGCCATGTCAAGCTTTCATGAATTTTGTATTATTTTTTCTTGTAATAAATGACACTATTATTATATACCAATTGATTTTCTTAATCAATAAAAATTATAATAACAACAACAAAATTCAAATTTAGGATCAAATTTAGGATCATGAGTATTTCAATCTCCAATTGATTGAAAATAGCTAAAAGACTTGCTACCTCAAATGAGTAGATAATTCGTTAAAATTTTTCTAAGAATATACTTCAACGCAGTTGAATAATTGTAATTGTATAAAATTGTTTGTAATTTGAACCTGTACAATAATCTTCTAAATGGACATTTGCTGACAATCGCATTAACATCATATCTAGTAATACTGAGAGTATCTTCTTATTCTACCACTTTTTTTAACAAAATACTAATAATTTGCCAAAGATATTTTTGTAGTATTTGTTTTATTTCCAAAAACTCTAAATGAAATTTTAAAATTATTCATTTTGTACAAAATAAAGTATTGAAAACAAGTGAAATCCCACATGTTTAGAGTCAGTCAATAAAATCCTTGTCGATTGAAGTGATTTCCCGATTTTTGGGTTTCATCAATTAACTTTGTAAATATTTTTGTTCATTTAAGACTTTGCTTTATAAATTCAAACTTTATGATATGCTTTATGTACCCCCTCCCTCCCAATATAATAGTTTGATCGTTGTAAAAATTGTTACATATTTAGGTTGTGTTTATATCATAAAAGTAATGCATACTATTTGGTTAAAAATAGTTTCTTTCAAACTCTCTTCTAACCCGAATCACCAATGCTAAGTGTTAATGTGAATACAAGTATGAACAGTGGTAGAGTTATCATTGGAGAAAATAAAGGAAGCTCTGCGATATCCGGACATGAGAATGTGTCGAAGCCAAGTCTTTATACAATAAGCGCAAGTGCACTAGTTGTTAACTCAAAAGAATGACATAAATATAACATTCACATTTGTAATCTACCACTAATTTTCTTCCTTCTCCTTCGGTAATGAAGATCCTCAGACCAAAAGATCATAATGGTTCTTACCACTGTACAATAGTCTCACAGCTTTTCTGCTTGAACCCTTCCTAAATTCACTTCCATACTCTGCAATAATGAAACCAGATCCAAAACCACCGCCTCTATGCTGCATTCGGATTACAAAGAGACACAACAGGAAATTTTAGCAGACAAATAATACAATCTTATAACATAAGGAACAAAGGATACACTCATATATTAGCTAGTACAAAGAGCATTAAAAAAGTATGTACAAGAATACAAACATAATGTGGCTTTATTAAGCTTTATTAATTATTTAATTATCAAGCAAATTCCGCGAGTTCAATGAAATAATAAATATAATAAAAACAATTAAATGATTTGAATCTCCTATTAAAAAATCAAAATGGGCATAGAAGGATCAACCATGTCAAAGTCTGGTCAGTGGAAACTGGAACCCGTTATCAGTAAGGTTAGAATATACAAGCATTTTCACAGCTACAAATTAGAAACCATGGACTTGGTTGTATAAATTTTAGCCTCTTTTGAAAGCACGAGACCAGGTTACGAATGCCCAATAAAAACATATTGACGAAACAGGGCTTTAATAATGTTCCTACATTATGCTTTTCAAATTGCTCCTTACTCTGCTCCGGTGCTATCCTAAAATGTGAATACAGGGATCCAAGTCTGACAGTACCAGTCTTTCTTTTGCTAATTTACTCTAGTTGAGAACATGATAGGCATTGACAATTTGAATGCCTAAATGCTTAAGTTTCCTTATTTCTCACCTTCTCCCTGTGTTTTCAATTCTAGTTTACTACTCACATTTTCCAGTGGGGTGTTGTTCAAAGGCATACATCTGCCCTTAAAACTCTTTCCTTTTGTTTTCTCATAACTCTAATAACTCTTGCTTTAGCGTTACAAAACCTAGAGAGCTACATAAAACTTTAATTTTGCTTCTACCTCAAACGTTCAGCTGTCATGTTTGTTTAAAACCCAGACATTTTTTAAGCTTTAACTACTGAAATCTCAGACCTTATAATCACTAAACCTGTAAGTCTTTCTATTCAAAGACAAATCTTGCCTTTGGAAACCACAATCATACCTTAAATTCCATAAGTTAAACAATGTTTATGTCCATCCGATGTTAGTTAAGTCATACTTTGATACTTGCGCTTCTCAATCTCTTTTATATATCCTATAAGTAGCTTCTTATCCACAATAGATTGAGCACTCCCAGATAATATTTATTAAATGCACAGAATTGAACTCCATGCAATACCATATTGGGCATTAAGCAGCTATTTATTTGCTATATACAAGCTTTCTACTTACGGTCGGACTTGAGTTTTTTGTTGTCTTAAATGAAGTGAAAAAATGATACCCATATATATAATTATTTGAATGTTCCCAAACCTAAAAGTGTAAAACATAAACGATTAAATACACAATTACTAAAAAAAAATGACTAAATGTATATTACATTTGTATGAGACTATGAGTTATCTTTAAAAATTACTACACATTAAAAAAATGGATCAATAATGGTGTGACATCACAAAAAAGCTCATAGTAGAGAAGTGGAGGTTCACAAATTGATTTTGAGATTTCAGCAAAATAAATAGGTCATGATTCAAAAAATAGAAAGAGAATTAAAGAAATTAGTGATAAAGGGAAAAGAAAAAGTTAAAGATAACCTTTATTTATGATTTTACATCAACACTTATTGAAATTCTCAGTGAGAAAAAAAAAAGTCAATAATATATCTATTTTCCTGTTTACATTTAATATTACTAGTTTATTTTCCTAAAATTATGGGTAGATTTTAGTTGACTAGTAGGAAAACAATTATTAATTAATTTTTTGCAATTAATTTTTTTTGGTAAATTGTTCACAATTAATTTATTTTCTATTATCTATTTTTTATAAAATTTAATTATGTAATTTTTATTTTTATATTAAATAGACTAAATAACAATTTTTTTGGTGTCCCTCTAACAACGGGCCCTAAATGGTCGCCCCACTAGTTCGTGCTGAAGACCACCGCTGCTTCTACTCCTAGAGCTTCTTACAAGAGCGCAATTAGCATTAGATGCACATAGCAGGAGCTTTATAGCACCATAATATCTTTTCAAATGACAAAAGCTTTTACAATCTGATATCAACACTGCATCAACTTCTTCATAAGTTAAAATTGGTCATGAATCATGATAAATTAGCATCATTTTTTAAAATAGACACAAGACAGCATATTACAAATTCACTAATATTCTAAATCATCTCTCTGCATTTTATTTCCAAAATTAGATATTCATGACCAATTGATCCCAAACAATAAATATTATCAACAAGGAAGTTATGTGCACCTTCATCTACCTGTAGATATATATTATTCATGCACATAATATTTGCTAAAAAAAAAAAAAAAACCTGCCCTGTAGCAAGTACAGTATTACTATAATCAGTAGAAGGAAGGAAGCACACTAATTACAAGTTCTTCCTTCCCAAGTAAAATAGATAAATGTCAACCTAGTAAGAATTGTTTAAGGTATACCTCATGCTCCGGAATGTACACAATGATTGGCTGCTTGCATAACTTTGACAGTACCTGCCCAGAATATTGTCATTAGTCAGTATATGATTTTTCATTCAAGGGGTTTATGCATCCATCTGGAGGCACACAACCTAAGCAAGTGAATAAGTATGACCAACTCCTCCAAAGAATTGATGACCAAAGGTTCCGATGGGAATTTTTCTCAGGAAGGCAGAAACTCCAACTAAATAAGTAAAGCATAATATCACTGGTTCTCAATGGTTTAATATAAAAAATGATAATAAAATTTAAGCAAATTATTTCAACCTTCCCTCTATTTTGCACTTCTGACACAAACCTCTATTTTCAAAATCTATACAAAAACCCTAACTAACTTAACTGGTTAAGAATATTTATATTCTTAAATATTTTATTTTATTTTTTGCTATTTTCAAAAAAGTTATTTGTGTAAAACTCCAACAATATCCTTTTGTTAATTGATGACTAAACATGTTTCCTCATTTCCCTCTTCATGCATATGTTTCCTTCACCTGCACGCAGCAAACTCATCCCTCCAAAGTCAGCAACACCATTCACCTCAGTGTATAGTCTACCAGCATTCACAAAAATTGTTCAGCATTTAAATGTCCTAACTTGAACCTTGGATTTTTTTTTTCATTGACTATGTATGTCATTGATGGCTCAAGTTTTGGGGTTTTTGGAATCTGATTTTGAAAATGATTTTTCCTTTCTTATTTCTCTTCATTCTGATGGATGAAGCAAGAATTAAAAACAACAATTGGAATGGAGTTTAAAATTTAAATGTTTTGGGGTTACAGGAGTTTGAATGTTTTCATTGAATATGCCATGAATTAATACATACAGGAATTGCATATTTTCCGAGATGAAGGAAACCAAATTGAAAAAAGCATGAATCCCTGCTTGGAGTGAATAGGCTTGCTCATAAGACATAATTTCAAACAACATTCAGTACAGGCTCAGACTTGGTGCTTTAGTTGCAGAACTAAAGCTAGACAAAAAGGTCAATAGGAACATTTACCCTAGGAAGTAGTCAAACCGCATGATATATGATAATTCACTTCTAACTGAATGAAATACACCAATCGCATGTAGCACCTACTATTCTTGCCAAGCGATAACTTGCAAGATAAAAAAATACAGGTAAAGCTTGCAAGATTTAGGAGGTAAGCACAAAGGAAGCACAAACCAGTAGCTCCGATTCTCCTCCCCAGAAATCAGATCGCACAATGCGTTGGCAGTAACTGCAAAATAACACATTTAATCATGACACTTAACACAAACTAACAATATGCTTCAAGATCTTCATTTTCTGTTAATGCTTCCAAAACATACCGTTTTAGGGGCTCATCAACTGTGATGGCAATGAGGGCTTCTTCATATAAATTACGTTCACCTTCATTTTCACATATAGCTTCTTTCACAGCCATTCGTAATTCATCTGCGCTATCATCAGAAAGCCAAATACATTGACAACAGAAAAACAAAGAGAAAGGAAAAAAAATAGCAGAAACCAACAAAGCTATCATACCCAAGCTGTCACATAATGTAATTCTGAAATAGAAAACAAAACAAACAAAAGTGACGGTCTCAACATACCTGCATTTTCTCTCTCCTCACGTTGATTGAGAACAGTTCCCTTATTGTAAGCCATTCCTTTGACCTAATGTCATTGAACCAAATGTTACCACTTCCATCTGAATCTAATATGAAAAACTTGCATGGTGGGAGTTAAAACTAGCGAAGGACTTGGCAATTTATATTTAACAAATTTATACGGCCAAAAGAATGTGCCAATATAACTCATACAAATAAAGAAAAATAAGGTCTGTTCCATAAAAGACAACTAATTATGAACTATTATCTTGCAAATACTATCCAGGCTTATTTATTATTCAGCATCCAACTTTTCTAGACCAATTATTAAAGAGTAGTGGCATCCAAAGAACCTTATTGTCTCAAGGCTAATTATATTATCTGCACCGCATTACACAGACTACACTGATGACGTAGACAGAAATTATTACTGCACTGGAGTAAAATATCAGTGCTAGAAAAATCATGACCACAAGGAATAGATTCCAGTTTGGAAGTTTCAAATTTCAAGAAAAGGAGTTCTTCACTAGCAATCTCAAAGTCTCAAACATAATATGAATTACTTTGATTTAAGACTCCCTTCTTGTAATTCTTTAAATCTTTTGCATCCTGATATCCAGAGCAGACATCACACTAAATTCAACTAACAAGAAACCACAAAAGGGTCAGAACACAGGGTAACAACAATAATACCAGTGCACGAAACAGACAACGTCCATCCCCTGTAACCTTCTGAACTGAAAAACGCTCAAGTTTCTTCATAGCTGGAGAGTGTCCACCACTGTGAAGACATTGTGAGGGGGAAATCATCAAAATTCTAAAGCATTGAGAAAAGAGTTCAAATATGATCCACTTTTGATAAAGATACAACTTAAATACATACATACATACATACATATATATATATATATATATATATATATATATATATATAAAAAAAAAAAAAAAAAAACACACACACACACACATGCGCGGAACTTAATAATTGGTGTGAAGAAGTGTTAACCTGTTACCCAAGTCGCGGAAGTTGTGGAGATCGGAGATGTTGACGATGAGGCGG